GGCTTGGCGCTATTTCCACTCCAAGGGTCACGATACATTTCAAGTCGTTCAATGTCTTCAGAGCAGTCGACTCCCCTGTGTCCCGTTCCACCCCTCCCTTCTGTCCACCTCTCGCTCTCGCCGCCTTCTTCTGATTTGTTCCGTCCCCCACTTCCACGCAGCCTTCCAGCCACTGGTCCTCCAAATATGACGTCGAGAGGGACCTTTTACTCATACGGCCAAACAGCCTCGGCAACAGAGCCTTCCGTGCACATTGCAACACAACAAAGGCCACTGCGGAACACGCAATTGTCACCACACCTGCGGTAAGGACCAGCATCTGATATCTTTGCCACCGCTTCTGCCGCCTTCTAATTATCGACGATTCAAGAACTCCCACAGACTGCTCTTCAGCCAAATTAACGGCGGGGAAGGGGTGGAGACGCACAGTCCCGTCCGTAGGCATAGTAGTCGACAGTGCAGCTCTTTCATTAAAAGGCACATTGGCCACATCCGAGTCTCTGGTTACTCCTTCTGCTGTTGTTGCTGCTGCCGCCAGCAGCGTTATACATCCTAGCAAGCGGTGTAACCGGATTGCCTCCCTGTAAATCCTGTTGCGGTGGCCGGCGCCCATTGGAAGCCGCGTTCTCCAGGCTGTTCGTGCTTCTGCGTATTGGCGTTATATGGGCTTTTGCTTAGTGTCGGCATGCAAAGGTGTGCTACCCCAAACCAAACAACTGCTCACGGCCAACCGCTATCAAAGATGTGCACACCGCTAGAGGCATGAACAAACCCCTATCCTTCAGATTCTCCAACCACACTAAGGTGTCCAGACTTGCTATAAATAAATAACGGAGTCACATGGATTACCTCCAAACAGTTGCAACTTCCGTTTTTCTCCAGTCCCTGACGCTGCCACCCACTGGCAGTACCGGACCACTTGAGACAAAAGGCCCTTTCTGCCTTGCTTTGCAGACACAGGAATTAGACCAAATTCCCTCTCAACTTAAGAAAAGGTCTAAGGTCTGTAGGCGCAGGGAAGATGGCAGTGTAAGCAAGCCTTAGTACAAGTGAAAAATCGAGGACCAGGGGCTCGTCTGGCACTTAACTGGAAGATGGACAGGCACTAAGTTGCGAACCTCAAACCTCCCTGTAAAATGCAGATAAAAATATCTAGCAAATATACCTTTGCAAGACGGGGAAAACCATGCCGCGAACTCCCACTGCGAATGCTGGAAAACAACAGATGACCGACCAAAAATGGAGGGAACAAGCTGTGGTATGAGTACATTTACAAGCTAAAAAGCGTGCATTCATAAATGTTCTAGTTCTGAGCGTGTATCCCAACACAGACCACTCGTTGCATGCCACTGCAGACTCGACCTGCAGCATGTTCCGCGACAGGTTTGATGACGAGGGACTGGCAGAATTTGTGTGCTGAAATCCTGCAGCAATTTAAAGCCGTAATTTTACGTGTAATAAGCTTGATATGGGAAGTTCTTGTGTTGGCAAGGTGAAATGGACACTTCTGTTCGGATGAGGCACTTCGCAGCTAAAGACCCAAACAGATTTATGCTTCCACTGGCACATCCCAGCTCCAACCAGGCAATCGGGAGCACAAACCTGAAACCTTTGGTATTCACCCAATTATTCGTTGGTTCCTACTGTGGTGTGACTGCCGTTGAATATATCAGGAGCCTCGCGATGTACCTGCACGGGAGCTTCGGGCTACTTGGAACGCGAGCTTCGCGCTATTGGAAGAGTGCGCTGAGATCAACTGTGTAGTCTCGTCTTGAGGGCGGAAATTACCTCCACCTACACAAAGCCACCAAATACTTTGTTTTATGTACAATGACTCGACGAAATTGATCAGTTCCTAAACTTACACCGCTCAGGAACTGTTCCCGTCGGTATTTAACTGACTCCATAATGAACGCAGACTTACTAGGACAACGAGTAATATGTATTATTGGCAGAACTCAGATTCTAAATATCAACTGCAGAATCAGAAACGAGAAGTAGAAAACCAATGAGGCGAGACCCTCCTGACTGTACCAAATTCAGAGTTTGCTTGCTGGCAACGCAGCCATCGAAGACTCAGTAGACCAGGTAGTGTTATTTCGTCTTATTTGGTTGCTATTTTGGTTACACTCATTTCACCACATAGCTAGGGATTTCGCATTGTAGTTACAACGCCAACTGTCTTCCACGAGTTACGACTAGTGAACCCTTCCTGGTGTCGGGATGCAGTATACTTCAGCGCTCTTACAGAACTTGTAGCCTTCGTAAGATTTTTGGAGCGTTGCGCTTGCAATGAGGCAAGTGAAATCTACTGAACATGCTTCACATGACCCACTACACTACGTGATTTCACATCTAGATGTTGAGCCATGCGCGCGGGTGAGGTAAGTGCACAGATGTTTGCAAATACACTGATCCCTGGGTGCATACTCGCACGTGGACGACTGTATAAGCGGAGGATCGTATCCAGAAACACTTGGGATATTGTGCAGAAGTACATGCGTGCATATTCAGGTGTTTTCGTGTGCCTGTGTATAAGATGCATGCCCCTATGGTTTTTCTACGTGTTCGTGTGTGGCGAAATGTATAAAATTACGCGCCTGTGTTTGCTTCCATGCTAATCTACAACTCTCATATAGGTAGGCAAGCAGATTTGCTCTCGAAAGCAAGTTGTGCACTTGTACGCTTATGCATAATGTGTGTATATATGTACGTGCGTGTGCATTTGTATGGGCAGACTTGTGTGTACATACATTTACACAGGCTTGCACAAGCGTGGGTAAGCGAATACGTATGCGGATGCGTATTCATGTTAGTACGTCTTCATGATCACATGTATGCGCCCCTCTGGTTGTACAAATGTGTGCATGGGTTTGTACATGTTTGTGTATACAAGCGAGAAATAGGTAGGCAATTGTCAATGTGCAAAATGTAATTGTCTATGTGCAAAATGTAATATCTGCGCTCAGTTGCTTGTAAACGCCTCTATGTGTAATGTATCCGTAGATAAACGCACTAACAGCCCAATTTATTATTTTCCAAGCCTCATATGCCGCATGCGCAGGCAGAAAGCGGCATTCGGCTGTATTCTCTGCTGCCCTGTTTAGTGGTCGAAGGGTTGTTCGTGCCAGTGAGACGCCCACACCTCTGAAAAGTCTACTAGCAACAGCAACTGAATTAGGGTTACCTGGGAGGTTTGCAAGGCAGCAGAGGGGGAGGAACAACGGAATATTCGCAGAGGAGGTAGAATATTTGATTTTCACATGAATAAATTGTGCCCAGCGTTTGCGTTGCAAAGAAATTCTTCTGAGAGTTGACGCTCCTCTTACTTGGCTGCCTTCTGGAAAGAAGACAGCAAAACTGGAAAATCAGCGGCGTTGACGACTGATATAGGTCTGCAGCTGTTCTCCTTGGGGCCAGTTTTCAGGCCTGCACGGTAGCCACAAGTGAGCATTTGCAACTCGCTCAAAGCAGACAGACAAAATGCTAGCTGCTACAGAATGAATGATGGTGCCGGGTTATAAATGCCCGTAGAATGTAGCAGACGACAACCGATGATACCCATCCTCAACATCAAGCGAATTGGACAGAAAGAACAGACAGGAGCGCACAACCATCACCAGCACAAAAAAGGGGACAAGCACGGCTAGGACAGATGCATGCAGCACAGATTAGTACGCACTGGAGTGAACAGACCTCAAGCTAAACGATTGCTCCGCCCGCTGCGAAGCGTAGGACGGGATGCATAGGCAGCTGTGTCTGTTCATATCAAAGGGAGCACCTGCACGGCAGCCGGAATGTCAGTGCTACATTACAAGTCCGCAGTCTTTTAGGGCGCGGACGCCAGTCTACTCTACAACACATTCAGAAAGAATAGCTATTCGGGGCATTTCGTCTTCGCTTACACCCAACGCGCCTTCTATAGGGACGATATGTAGAATGATAGAGGTCTTCTGCTCAAGTGTTGCCAAGAACGCACACACAATTGGATGGAAGTTTCTTTTACAGGTGACGTTTACAACTCGGGAGAGCTTCAAACCCCTCCAGACCAGATGTTGCGAAAGGCTAGTGCAGTACAGCTGAAGGGTGGCAGCCCTTGGAACGCATGTGAGCCATGCGGATGAACACGCACAACTGGCGTCCACACTTGTACGTTCCATCATTACCTACTGCTGTCTATCCTGTCTTCCACAAAGACTCCATGAAGCACCGTCACGGGTCTCCGGTGACACCTCACAGGCTGCCCGTGTTCTTTGGCTCCCTGCAGCTATTGCTGTATTGCGTCCACGTACTACAACGACCTACGACCTGTCATCAGTAGGAGAAGGTCAATTAGAAGCAGGAACTTATGGCCACCCTTGATCCCTGTGTGGTCCTTGTCCAGATCCCGTAGGCGAATCTGAATCAGACAGCGCTGATGAAAGTGCTTCTGCAACTAGAGGACCGAGGGGGTCGAGGTCCACTAGATTATGCGTAGATGGCAAATGTGCGTCTCCTTGATCGCCTCCAGCTGTAGGTGGCCAAAATGCTCTAGGAGGTTCAAAGCGCCAACTAGGTATAGATCGCCGACCTCCAGAGACTAGTGTAGAAGGTTCAGGGCCGTGTCGTGGAACGTCTGAAGGGGGACTATGAAGGATGGGTCTGGAAAAACGAAGCGACGGTCCTTCAGTGGGTTGAGGAAGTCTCGAGGGGTCAGCGGAAGGTCTAGGCGATGGGAATTGGGGCGTTGGAAGAGGATTCCGAGGCGTAGGGCTTCCAGTTGAAGACGCTGTTAGTGGGAACATCGTTCTGATATATCCACTGGGGCTCAGAGTAACCACGCGTATTGGGCCCGGCAAGGGAAGGGGGCAAGGGAAAGATGCTAACGAATCCAATGCTTGCCATGGGGGCACAAAGGCAAGGGGTGGTGGAGCGTACCACCAAACATAACTGGCATCAGAAGAGACAGGGTGTATATGATGCTGCATACCCGCTTGATGGCGATACCGTATCGTTGTGTGCAGGGGCGCATTTGCTCGGAGAATAGAATTTGCTGTAGAACAGTCCAACATGGACCGCTCTTGGGCCATTGCAGCTTGCTGCAATTCGTACCCACTTGGAGTGGAGTGGGGAGGGGATTGCTCCCAACGCTCTGCTTGGGCAATGGGAATGTTTTGTTGCGAGTCTGCAGGAGACGACTGAGTTGGGTCGAGCAATGGCAGGTTCACCAACGTGTTACTTGTAGTCAGCAGGGGTCCTTGGCGGGGGACAGGAAGGGGGGGTGGATGATGCAAGGCGTGTGCCTGTGCATCAGTTGTCACAGCCGCTGGTTGATCAACAGCAGGTTGGGGGGTGGGTCTAGAATCATCATTGTTGTCAGAAATGTGGCTGGTCGACGGATGCTGTTGCTCGTGGAGTGTTTGATTGTCCTTTTGTTGCTGCTGATCCCCATACACGTGTCCTTGATGTTCGACCGGCTGATGTTTCCTAGCCGTTTGGATGCTGCGGGCAAGCGCCTGCGTTAGCGGTTCGTATCGTGCCTGATATTTTGCGATCTCCTCTTCTGCAGGGAGGCGACGAAAAAATGGCCTTCGTACGCGATGTTGTTCGGCAATTGCAAACAAACAGAGCTGCGCTTGTATTGATGCAACCCAGCCACCCGCATTTGCATCCATCTTGAGTCTTGCCTTGCCCAGATGTCGAGTCAGGGAGACAAGATTGAGAGCCCGTTCCGCCACCTCTTCGGGTATCGAAACAGAGCTTTGTATCCAGGATTGCAGTTGTTGTAGAGCCTCTTTACACTGTTCAATTCGATACGATGAGATGGTAGCTTCCAAAGCTAGCGCCTTAGAGTTGGACTTCTTTTGGGGAGTTCTAAATTCTTCCAAGAGCTGCAGTATCTCTCGTCCTTGACCTAACGTCTGATAGCTCTGGCCAACAGCTTCTAGTTGTGCCAAAGCCCGTCGTCCTTCCTGCAAAATGAAATTCAGTGTCCGCTGCCGCTCCAATTCTACTTGTGGTGTTGAATGAACACCATACAAAACCAACTCCTGCGTACAGATAGTCAACAACAAGACAACAAGAACGGCCATTTTCTCAGAGGGAAGGCTTGGCGCTATTTCCACTCCAAGGGTCACGATACATTTCAAGTCGTTCAATGTCTTCAGAGCAGTCGACTCCCCTGTGTCCCGTTCCACCCCTCCCTTCTGTCCACCTCTCGCTCTCGCCGCCTTCTTCTGATTTGTTCCGTCCCCCACTTCCACGCAGCCTTCCAGCCACTGGTCCTCCAAATATGACGTCGAGAGGGACCTTTTACTCATACGGCCATTGTCG